TAGATAGATAGATAGATAGATAGATAGATAGATAGATAGATAGATAGATAGATAGATATAGATATCTGTCTCTCTGTCTCTCTTCCTCCCTCCCTCCCTTCCTCTCCCTCCCTCCCTCTCCCTTCTACTCCCTCTCTCTCTCTCTCAATCCAATCTGCTTTACAGGGTTGTTTGTGAGGAAAAGAGGAGACGGGAACATTACGTAAGCTTTCTTGAGTTGTACAAAGATGGCATCTAAATATAATAGAACAAACATGTTAGACATCTCTCAGATAATCACCAATTACAGGACAAAGGGGAGCTAAAAAGGTCTCCAATTGTTATTATTATTTTCCAACTATGAAATGTGGATAAAGTGGCATTTCTTTGTACAGCTGCCACGGGAACAATTAAGTTAATTAATCAGATGATTACACTAGCAAGCACAAGGACTGCCATGGCGGATTAGATTAATGAATCGGCTCAAAAGCTGGTCGCAATTTCCTACTTCAGAACTGGGATTCTCTTGAAAGAAAGGACTGGGTGGTCTAATTAAAAGCAAGCATTTCTTCTGAGATATTAAGTCAAATGCTGGTTTTTCCTCCAAAGACACTGAAAGTCATGATGCTGATGCCGCCCACAAAACAAGAAATTCAGGGTCCTCTCTAAACCCCAGCATAATATGGGGTGTTACGTACTCACATTTTTGCAGTTTAAAAAGCAATTAAGTTTTTAATGGGAAGTTTCTATAGAGAGCCCAGCTGGAGTACCCAGCATTTAATCGTAGAAGGCTCCAATGTCTTTAGCAATAACTTGACTGCCCTCCAGCCCCCAAAATAGTGCCTTAAGCTCTTTCATTAGTCAGGAGCTTAATTTCATCAGTACAGTCCTGCAGAGAAGTCACAAAGCAGCAGTCATAAAAGTTCTCAAGGCCAGCTTTGGTACTTGCCCAGTTACTGTATCCTTTAGCACCAATCCAGTATTTTCCGTATTCCTGCTGCCTTCTTCTTGCTGGGAGATCCTTGTGAGATCCAGCAGCCAGAAAATACAGACTATTTAGCCGTGACAGGGTCACATTGCCTGGGGTGTCCACAAAGAGGCTAGTCTACATTGCACCCTCTACATGACAGAGGCTTAGCTACCCCGTGAGTAACGGCTCGTACATAATTTAATTGTATACCTACAGTAATTGTATCCATCACTCGTGCTGTGCGTTTTTTAAAAGACTATTGACTGCTCTGATGTTTTATATTTTGATAGACGTTTTATAGGTGGCTTTCGTGAATTTTTTTGGGAGTACTGATGCTGTGTTGTGATGCCATACTAAATAAATAAATAAATAAATAAATAAATAAATAAATAAATAAGCAAGCGGCAATCCAACACCAATGCGCTTAGCAAATGACGTTGATCCCACCACTTACCTCCCTTCTAACAAAATGATTTGCCTTTTAGGTTTCTGCATCAGAAGAACAAGGAGAGAGAAGAAGTAAAATAAAATAAAAAAGCTAGCGATTTTGGCTGTGGCATGTAGGAGGTTTTACGAAGGACTGCAGGATTTCCTAGGAGGTTGAAAACATGAAAGAGGGATAGTAACACCTTATTTTAATTCTCCGCCCAAGCAACCACTCTGTTTTCACTCTAAAATCCAAGGTGACATCAAAACATGTGACACGTGACCTTGGAACTAACGGGTTCTTATCTTTTAAAGTACCTTAAATATCAAAACATAAACATTACAGTCAATAAGACCAGTTTACAGTATCCAGTGTCTGCTGTCCTTCAGCACCATTCCAAGGTTGTCATGCAAAAAACCAACCAACCAAATATCTTTGGGCTGTATCCTCTGTGATAGGTCCAATCAGCAGAACTGAAATGTTGCTTAACAGCAGGTAGATTGGAAAGCATAGATGCAATTTTTGTTTCTCTTACTTTCTGTTAAAATAAAGCATAGCTGATCTCCGACATTCAGGCCATGGAAAAGGGATAATTCATTTGCATTGAAAATGCCTTGACTTATCCGGGGGCGGGGGATCATCAGCCTGTCAAATGGTGTTGCAGGAGGCAGTGTCTGCTTATGGATGAATTCCCAGTCTCTTGAGGCAGAAAAGAGGTGTCTGGTTGATACATGCTCTTTGCACTATATGTGTGTAGTTTATAAGAAGAGAAGGACTACAATTTCTGAGACGGGGCTATTTCCTCTTCGGCCCCTTTCACTTAGGAATGTGGGGCAGCTGTCAGTGCAGGTAAATGTTGGAGGGTCATTCCCAGGCTTAGGAGGAAGAAACAGGAATAAGATTCAAGCATGGGAATGCTCCCACCAGCAAAGTTTAGGAGTACTAAGCATTGAAACACCTTAGACATCCCATTGCTTAGCTGAAGAGATCAACTGCCAGGAATGTAAGACATTTTATTTATTTATTTATATTTTATTTGTCAAACATGTACAAGATAACAAGTGTAAGTATGAACCTAAACAAGAACAAAGGAAGTAAATACAGATAAATGGGGACCGTAAGACAGGGACGGTAGGACCTTTTAGGAATGGGGTGAGGTCCATGGTAGGCAGTTTGAGGTTGAAGGTGTGAGGGGTTGAGGTTGGGGAAAAAATAAACATTTGACATATTTGTGCTTTGCAAAATTGTTTCCTGTCAAGTCTGCAAACAGGGCTATTTTTCTGTAAAATATTAGTACTTAAGCACATGAGCACTAATATTGGTGGCTTCCTTCTAGCCAAGCCTACCCTGCACATATGAATCCCCCAGTCTGCTTTTTCCCAGCCATGACATATATGCGAAGGAAACTCTTGCAAAAAGAAAGTGAACAACTGAAGAGGTAAATATCATATACTGTTCACTAAGTCTTACTGTAGAAATGCCTCTATTATGCCTTATTAGGAAAACCAGGAACTGAGTATTTTACATTTTGCTGGTAGTGTATGCTTTAAAATTTTAAATAAGAAACCTCAATGCTCAGAGAGAGAGAATTGACCAAAATGTACAGAAAAAAAAATTGTTCCAAAGAATGCAAACAAACATAAGAGAATAATAGAAGAACACACTAGGAAATCACAAAAGATTTCTTAGCAACCACATAGCCCTGGAAAGTTTGAGGAATTGCTTGTTAATGTAGATTTTTTTCTGGAGTAGCGAGAAAGACCTCTTGACAGCCAAATTAGATTTAATGGTTAGAGATAGAAAGGACTTAAATTTTATCTGCAGCATCCAAACTATATAATACATAATGCATTTTCCCAGTAATATTAAGATTATTAATGTAATAATCTCTTTAGGTTGATAGCTACTCAGTTTTAACCACTGGCTAATTCCTTACATTGATGACCCATATTAAATGTTGCCACTTGCTCTTGTTTCCTCTTATGTTTCCCCAATAACATTTCATTAAATATTCCATGTGACATTGTACCAGATTCAGTGTTTTCTTTGAGATATTTTCAACAAACTGAAGGGGAATTTGCATAATTCATCATATTTAAATGGTAGCTTTTTAAAAAAATGTTCAGACAGAAGACATCTAGAAGGCCCAGGTTTGGAGGGTGCTGTCCCTGTCTTCTGCTTACATCTCAGACCAAATAATTACAATTAGCAGTTATAAATACAAATTGCTAGAGTGGAATCATGGAGACAAAACAAGAGCATGGTATAGAAGAGCAAAAAATAATTTTGTGCATAGCTGTAGTTTTTTTTAAATGGTTCCTAATGAACAATTATCAACCCTTAACAATAAAAAATTATAATTGGAGAAGATAACAAAACACAAAGACCTATAAATAAAAATAGAACAACTATGGCAAAAGAAAGCAGAGTAGTATCAGTAGCAATAGGCACATATGATGCAATTCCAAAACAACTGGAACACCACTTGAACATCCTCGGGATTGACAAAAGACACCAGTCAATTGCAAAAGCCAACTTTACTCAGAACAACTTATACCCTGTAATCAACAACTGACTACCTCAGGTCCTTAGGAAAAACATTATCTTCTTCTCTCTCTCTATAAAAGCGAAATACCCCTCATGCATCATCACAAAATCTCCAGAACCATAAAGCCTACAAACTTGATATTTGGCATGTCTGTTCCTCTTGGCTTCTAGGTGCTCACTAAGAAAGGATTTTTCGAAATGATCACCAGAGCATTAGTATTTCCTATATTATTATTAACATGCTCTGATGCTAAGGAGCTCTACTCCCACTCCCCACCTGAAAAGAAATCTCTTCCAAATGCAAAACACAAGCAGAGGAGAGTAGCTTCAGTTTCAGTTTTACTTTCACAGCAGCAACCAGCTTTAGTAGAGTACAGTTGAGCTAAGCCATGCCCAGGCTCCTTGCTATCTCCTTCTTGCTCACACAGCAAATACTGCTTCAGTTTCCAAACAGCCCTCAACTCTCTCACACACTAGCAGGATGCTAGCCAGATGAATACAGATGGATGCTGGTAGACAGAATTTTTTCCCCTTATTTTCCTCCCCAAAAACTAAGCCCAACCACGTACTTTCGTAGTGAAGCAAGGGTATCGAGCTAGTAGGTAGATAAAAATGTCAAACCCCAAAACATCTGGCACACCACTTGAACACCAATGCCACTGACAAAATCACCATCAACTGCAAAAAAAAACCAAAAAAAAAACAAAACCCAGCCCCAAACATTTTCTCCCAAATACCCTTCCCCAAAGACCCCCACCCCACCCCATTCTGGTTTAGCCCAAGACAGACCCCAGCCCCTTTGCAACCTGCCAATGCTTCTTCCCCACTACAAGACTTCTTCCCAAAGAAAAGGTGTCCTCCCTCGCCCATCCAACACTGGAAATTTTAAAGAAGACCCTAGGCAACCATTTGCCTGAAATGGTATAGGGTTTCCTGCCTAGGCAGGGGGTTGGACTAGAAAACCTCCAAGGTCCCGTTCTTCTAGTCTAGTCTAGTGTAGTCTATTTTCTATTGTTTTTTATTCTATTCTATTCTTCATTCCAATATTCTATTCTATTTTCTATTCTATTCTATTCTCTTCTATTCCCCATCAAGGCGCTTTGCTTCCAGGACTCAACTACGGAACCTTTGGTGGCCCAATTCACACACCCCCCCCCCGCCAATCCCTGGGTTTGATTCCTACATCAGGCGACCCCCACCCACGGAGATTCCACGCCGGTGAAAGGCCCAGCATCCCAAGGGCCCACCATCCCTTGGTGGCTTATTCAGCAAACTCAGTTTAAGCGTGCTTACGCTTCGACCGGTGCAGGGACCCTAGGCAAATAAAAGGGGGGGGGGTACAGTGTCCTCATTTGCCCCCGTTTCAGTGAACAGCCCCCCATTTGTTCCCCAAACTTACCCCCGCTTGCTTTTGCTACCCCCCGAAACGCGGAAAAAGGAGAAAAAACCCCGCGGCGCTTGACATTCAACCCACTTCCGGGTGCTACTGGATGGTTTCTAGGAGACGCGGTCCGCGTCTCAAAGACGTCCGTCCGGGCCGTCCTTGCCTAATAGCCTTCCGGCGACCTCTTTCGTTTGCCTACATTGAGTTCCTCCCCATCGAGCTTCCCCTTCGCGAAAAGGAAAGAGGCGTTCCCTGTTGCTCTGCAATTCGTATTTTTTGAAGATGATCCCGCTGTTTATTTTAGATTTTTACTACTCTTTCTTCGCTCTCACCAGCAATTCGATCCATTTTTATGGCAAAAAAGCTGCTCTTTTAGTTTTGCTCAAACTAAAAGTCCCCCCACCGTTATTGTTATTGATAATATCAATAATAATAAAGTTAAACAACAACAATAATAATATAATGTCAAACATTAACAATAAAGGCGGGTTGTTACGCTGAGCTTTCCGCACGTTGCCCCTCAGAAACAAATCCACTGAAAGCAAATAAAGAAATAGAAGTTTGTTGTCCCCTTTGGAAACGTTCAAATGCAGTGTTTCTCAAATTTGGCAATTTGAAGATGGGTGGACTACATTTCCCAAAATTCCCTAGCCAGCTGGCTGAGGAATTCTGGGAGTTCAAGTCCAAATGTCAAGTTTCAAAAAGACAGAAGATCAATAATATAAAAGTCACACTAGATCAGTCAAATTGGTTAAAAAAAAATTCTGAAAATTCTCAAAATATGTTTTCTTACAAATACAGAACCACCCGGACTTAAAATTTTTACTTTACATTTCTTACCATAGTGAAAACAAGGAACAAACTGTGACTTTGTTCTTAAGTAACTTGGTTTTGGCTTGAATGATCATTTGTAGCTTATAGCAATATAGCAATAGCACTAAACTTATATACCGCTTCACAGTGCTTTACAGCCCTGTCTAAGCGGTTTACAGAGTCAGCATATTGCCCTCTAACAATATTAAATTCATATGTGCATTAATTACACGCCCCCATGCATATAACCATAGAATAGAATTTGCAAGTTTACCCATGTACAGGATATTATTTGATGTCACGATACGGACACTACAGCCACAAAATTTCACTAACAATCTACACACACATGAAACGCGGTTTGCTTACATCAGACATGAATTTGGCTTTTGTTTCATACTGACCTGATTAAATGTACAGTAAGTAATGCAGAAAGTGGAAGCTCTTGTAGCGGCGTTTCAGATTGCCAAATTCTTACTGCACTAAGATCTTTTGCTCTGCAAAGCGAAATTAACCGTTGCTGTCCACACCCTGGGCAGAACACAGAGCTTCCTTTCAAAGCAAGGTCTGCATCTTCCAATTTCCTGATAAGCTTCATGCCATCTCAATTTATATTTCTTTAAGGATTAGCCTTATCTGCCTCCAAAATATTTTATTGGAAGCTGATAACTCTACAGAATGGCTCAGAATCTTCCAGTATGCAATTTCCCTCTTTAATATCTGTCTTTGGTACTGTGACAGTATGTCTTTTTATTATAAAAGACAGTCTTTCATTTCAAAAAGTTATCCTTTAGATTTATTTATTTTTATTTATTATTTATTTTTCAAAAACTCACTTTTGTCCTTTACTGTGGTCAATTTACTGGAGAAATGGTACAGTGCAGTCTGGCTGCAGAGATCCTTTCTAATCCTTGTTCCTTATAACTTCATAGCTTTTAAAGCTTTTTTAGATATTTTTAATTAGAATACACATTTTTTTAAAGGTTTTGTTCTTGAATTTTTCTTCGTAAAGCAAAGTTATAAACAAACATTGCTTTTATACTTTCTTTCAGATTTGCTCCTTCTTCAGGTTTGCCCTTAATTTTTTTGCAAGAAAATATGCTCACTATACTTTTTGGAGAAAACAAAATGTTAACAGTGTATTTTTATCAAAACTTTGATGGGCATAAACATTCAATCTTTGGGATGAAAAATTCCCCCCTCCCCTTTATATTGGCTATATTCATATTATATCAACTTTTGTTTGTTTAAGTTTAAATTTATATAGCTGCCCATCTCACTTGTGAGACTCTAGGCAGTTTACAAGTTGAAAACAGCAAAAAAAAACCTGGCATAAATAAAATGAAAAACAATTAAAACAACAAATCAACAGATAAAAACACAGAAGAATACTCTTACAAACTTACAAACAATCCAGCCACTTTCAAGCTTACTATATTTATTTAAGCTTCAATACTAGCTTATTCAAACAAGTGGCTTACACAGTACAACTCTACAATATTTGTTTAACATAACAAAATATAGGTACAATGCAAATCAGGTTCATGCTGGCTGAGGAATTCTGGGGTTGAGTCCACTCATCTGAAAACTGTCAAGGTTGAGAATCATTGTCCTAAGATTGCTACCCTGATCTGGAGTTCATGGCTGAAAAGCCCATCTCAAAGAGGGGGATTCATCCTCCTTGCCCAGCCAGGTTTCAATAATACATGGAAATTGGGATTCTCTTCTGGTCAACTGTCTGTTCTGTAATCTGCCAGTTCCTCCCATCCCCTTCTAAAAATCCTCTACATACTACCATTCAGAGTCCTCCCAGAAAACAAGTCCCAACATGCTGGCTGGGGAATTCTGGGAGTTGAAATCCACAGGTCTTAAAGTTGCCAAGATTTATGACCCCTTGCATAAATCTTGCTTGCTTTCTCCCCATTCTGTGCAGATGCCCTTGTGGGCCACAGTCCTCAATTAGATTCACTCTTTAACCTTCTCTCATCTCTACCTTTAAAATCCAACTCTGATTATCTGTTATCTGTTAATCGCTCCTTTCTCTTCCATTCCATACGTCCTAATCACTACATTAGAGCCACATCACCAATCACCATCATCTTCCATTCACATTCTCCAGACCATCCTAAAAGCTAAAAATTGGGCATTCTTTCCCTTTCCAGATCAAAATACTCTATTCAGTGCCATGTTTTTTTAAAAAAGTCCACTTATCATCCAACCTCCATTTCCCACATTCTCTTCTGACATTTTTCTTACTACAAAAAATGTCCGTTAAGGAAGAAAAAGTTAAGTATTGGACAAACTGTCCATTCAGCACCAATTTCATGTTCTTTCCTTTTGGGTGTCATTTGCTGAGGCTGTTTTCATTCTTCGGGACGGGTCTTCTCCATGAGAAAGGAATCGCTGAAAATTATATTTCCGCCCTCGAGTAGGTCAACGTAGGGTTGAACAAGTGAATGCAGGTTTGATGAGATAATGTGCCAAAGAAATGGGTGCATTTGTAAAAGTAATACAGGTATTTCTTGACTTACAACCATTTGTTTGTTCAAAGTTATGACAGCACTGAACAAAAGTGACTCCGTGACCATTTTTCACACTTACGACATTTGCAGAATAACCATGGTCATGTGATCAAAATTTGGGTGCCTGAGAACTGGTTCCTATTTATGATGGTTGCAGTGTCTCGGGCAGTGAAGGGTTTCTAAAATTTTTTCCTACTGGTTTGGAGAGCTGGCTTCGTGTGCGTGTGTGCAGGGCTCAAACACCACCCTCTGTATCAACGCTAGTGAGCTGTGCTTTTTTTAGCTCAGCTGAGGCACAGCAATCTGCTCTAATGGGCAAATCAGGTGAGCTAATAAACAACAGAATATAGGAGAGGTAAGAGCGGGGTCAGCCAGAGGTAGTATTTGCCGGTTCTCCGAACCAGTCAAAATTTTTGCTACCGGTCCTCCAGAACCACTCCGAACCAGCTGAATCCCGGAATCCTCTCGTGCCAGGGTCCCATGATCCCCTTTTGCAACATTCGGACAAGCAAAGTACATCGGGGAAGCCAGATTCACTTGACAACCGTGTTATGAACTGAACAGCTGCAGTGATTCACTTAGTGACGGTGGCAAGGAAGGTAGCAAAATAGGGCAAAGCTCACTTGAACAGCTCTCTTGTTTAACAACGAAAATTTTGGACTTGAGGTTGTAAGTCGAGAACAGTGGGCGTTCCTATCCTGCCTTCCCTCGAGGTGAATAACTTGGATTGTCACCAGGTATAATGTCAGGATTGTAATGGGGCCTCACGCGATATTTGAAGACTTTGATATCGTTGTCTCCACTGTCGGTGACAAAAAGTGACCCGTCTGGGGCACAGGCGACGCCAGTCGGTCTCAGAAGACCTTTCGATACCAGACAGATTGGAGAACCGTTCCTAGGAAACAGATGCACTTTCTGATGCTGTTCATCTGCGACTATCATGTTGCCTTCCTTATCGGCACAGAGGCCTGCAGGGTTGCCAAACCGGTGGCCGTATTTGCTGCTGATGGAAGAGACCAGCTTGTGGCTACTGTCGTAGAGTTTGACCCCCCCGCATTCTTCGCTCACTGCAAACCCCCCGTCGGGGAGGCTGCACACGTAGCGTGGCCCGCTGAAGTTGGCGATGGAATGAGCGTTCTGCATCTTGAAAGCTCGGTCCAGAGCAAAGACGTGGACTTTCCCTTCAGTGTAGTCGGCCACCAGTATCCTCCCTGATGCTTCCACGGCGATGCCTCTGGGGGAGCAGAACCTCCCAATTCTGAGCCATTCCCCCTTGGAGAACATGGAGCGGTCATTGAAGACGTGGACGGTTCTGTTCAGCATGTCTGTGACAGCCACCATCCCAGCTCTGGTGATAGCCACGTCCTCGGGTAGAAAGACCTCCTTTTTCCATTCCACACAGGGGATGGACCGAAACACCTGTCCAGAGCGATTAAGAAGGTCCACTCTGGGTGCGTTCTCGGTAGTGAGGTAGACCACCCCATCTGGAGAGCAGTGAATTCCACCCACTGCCCCGTAGTGGTTCCTGTTGGGATTGGAGATCCTCCGAACGAGATCGTCTTGCCGATAGTAAAGGTGGTTTTTGATATTGTCGAGGTCATGGCAGATGACCCTGGCTTTCTCCACCAGTTGGTGAACTTGGTGGTCAGTCACCATGCCCATGCCTGGATGGTTGGTCAGGAGAGGACTTGCTTTCTGAAACGTCGAGTCTGATTTGACTTGTAGGGTATAAACCGTCTTCAGAAGTTTCTCCTTGCGTCGCGTGTCTTCCAAGGTATAATCCATCCCTTGGGGGGTGGGAGGGGGGGGGAAACATCAACACAGTGGTTATAAACCATCATATAGTCTGGGAACTATTTCAGGAGGGGGAAAGAGTTCTGAAAGCTACATTGGGGGTGGGTAAAGGCCACAGTTTTAGATGTAGAAGATTCCAAGTAAAATTGAAATTTTCCACTCATATGGAATATATCTAAAACTGTGGAGATCTTGATTGTTTTCTTGCAGATCTTTCATTACCCAACTAGGTAACATCATCAGTGCTAGAAGTTTGCTTCCTGTTTATATGCTCCTTCTTAAGGCAAACCACTTGTATATAAAAAGAGAGCAAACCCCACTCACTTCTAGCACTGATGACGTTGCCTAGTTAGGTCAGAAATGTCTACAAGAAAACAGTCAAGCTCACAGAAAACCAAGGAATCCACAGTTCAACCTTGAGCTACAAATATTCCCCTCTATCATTACTTAAAGCTAAACCATCATCCCCCTCCCTGCCACCTTCCCGTCCTTGGCCCTTCCTTGTTAGATACAATCTGAAACCTAGATTAGCATACAAGTAATCCTTGACTTACAACACTCTGTAGAGCGACTGTTCAAAGTTACCTGTCAACTCATAAAATATGCCGGAGCCCTGACATTACCATGGTGCTGGGGGAAAAATGACCCACAAATGGTCTTGAAACTTTTGACTGTTGCAGCCTCTCTGTAGTGACAAAGTCACAATTCAGGTGTTTGGCAACAGTCGGGCTTTTATTAAGGTTGCAGCATCCAGCAATCACATGATCAACCTTTGGAATCTCCTCGGCAGATTTCTTGACATGCAAAGCCGTTAGGGAGGGTCACAAGTCATGATCGTGTGATGCTTCACTTAATGACTGCACCAGAGGGGGTATTCAGTAGGTTCTGACCAGTTCTGGAGAACCGGTAGCGGAAATTTTGAGAAGTTCGGAGAGCCGGCAAATCCCACCTATGACTGGAGATTTTACAGTATCCTTCCCCTGCCACGCCTACCAAGCCATGCCCACAGAACCAGTTGCAAAATAAAATTGAATCCCATCACTGGATTGCATCACTTAACAACAACATTCCCTTATTACAGTCATAAGACAAGGATTACCTGGAGAATGGTCCTAAAGTCGACGTGATTCTCACACTGGCGAACAGTCTTTCTTTACCCTCCCTTCACCGCCCGTATAACACCTGACTGAGGAAGCAGAGAATGATTTTACACAAAGGGGCTTCACACCAAATCATACAGTTGTGTATGTGATCACCCAGCTGCCCACCTCTTCCAGCAAGAGTTTCACAAAGCAAATGGCCCCATTTTAACCAAGCAAGCATTCCCAGTTTCATGTACCTGTGGTCCAAGTTGAATAAATAATGTTCTGCTCTTTACCTGAACACAACAGCAGGTTGGAAGGATCTGTTTCTTGTGATACACAAGTGAAATTAGTCACCTAGGGCTTTGTTGTTAGTGACAGGAATTTCCTTTGCTGACCAATACTTATGTCAATAGGATAGTTTCACCCTGTAAACACAAAGATACTCATATTAAACGCATGGCAGAAGGATCCTTTATTACATTTAGGCAGCGTAAAGTGAAAATTGTAAATGAAATGACATTAGCAGCCTAATATCGATCTAATATTCTGTGCCAGGTCTTTGAAACTGGAGTCCACACTTTCTGGTCTGTCTTTTAAGTGTCTTGGGGGAACTCAGCTTTTGGGGCTCATAAATCAAGTGTTTTGCCTTAGTGTGATATAAGAACAGACAGAGATAATAGATGTAAATAGATTATCTATCTATTTAGAGATAGATGAGAAAGAGAGAGAGAGAGAGAGAGAGAGAGAGATGTGTGGATATAGATTAGAGATAGATAGATAGAGAGATATATATATATGTTTGATAGAGAGATAGATATAGATTAGATATAGATAGATTAGATGGATGGATGGATGAATGGATGGATAGGTAGATAGATGATAGATAGATAGATAGATAGATAGATAGATAGATAGATAGATAGATAGAGAGTCATGATATGACATGTTATAGATAGATAGATGATAGATAGGTAGAAATAGATAGGTAGGTAGGTAGGTATAGGTAGAGATTATAGATGATAGATAGGTAGATAGGTAGGTAGATAGATAGATAGATAGATAGATAGATAGACAGATAGATAGATAGACAGACAGTCATGATATGACATGTTATAGATAGATAGATAGAAATGATATAGATAGATTAGATAGATAGATAGATAGATAGATAGATAGATAGATAGATAGATAGATAGACAGACAGACAGACAGACAGAGATTTCAAAGAAAGGATAGCTGAGCACAATCTGTGAAGATCCTGCCTTCTTAGAAAAGTATTTATGCCCCTGAGTTTCAGATATATAAATCTGCAGAAACTTTTATTAGAGGAAGAACCAACTATTTGAACATAGAATAATAGAGCTGGAAGGACCTTGGAGGGCTTCTAGTCCAGTCTGCTGATCAAGCAGCAGAACATCCTATACCATTTCAGACAAGTGGCCGTCACCTCCAGTGACGGAGCATCCACAACTTCCAGAGGCAAGTCATTCCACTGATTGTTCTCACTGTCAGGAAATGTCTCCTTACTTCTAGGTTAGTCCTTCTTTTAATGTTCTTCCACCTATTGCTGCTTCTGCTGCCTTGAGATGTTTTGGAGAATAAGTTGACCCCTTCTTCTTCTTCGCGACAACTTCTCAACTACTGGAAGATTGTTATCGTATCACCTCTGGTCCTTCTCTTCATTAGACTAGACATACCTAATAGTTTGGGTGGGATCCAAGAAACCTGGATTCAAATTCTTTCCATTATTATAAACTTCAGTAGCTGCCTTAGGCCACCTTCTCCCCTAACATAGCTTGGCAGCAAGGGCCATGTGGTCAAGAAGAACCAGGACTGTAGTCCAGGTGGACGGATGAGACTTTAACAATGAGAAAGTGAATTAATAAGTGATAATTTGATCCCTGCTGCCTGGTAGGTCATAACCCAGGAACTGACAGAAAGCCAAATTGGGACTTTTTGGATATTCAGAAGGCCATGGGCTGTAGAGGGGCCATTAGTGACTTTTGGTGGCTTCTAAACAGGTTGTGACAAGTCTTAATCTCTGGGAAGGTGAAGGAATGCCTGAGGCCGCCTTGATATGTTTATCTTCGTGATTAAAGCCACAACAGCTCTACAAAAGGTCAGAGTTGGTTGCCGAGTGCCATTGTTTTCATAAAACAAGGAGGAAGCAAAATAGAAACCCAGCTCTCCACCTGCTTCCTGGCTCTCCAGCTGAGGCTGCTCAGCTTACCTGTTGGGTTGAGTTATTGAATTCTCACAACAAAACTAGTTTCGGGCGGAAGCTTTCAGCTCCGTACCCAGCGGTGAAGATACAATTCTGAGCTAGAACTTCACACATCATTTTAAGCCATAATATGGTTTGGTTGCAATGCATAAGCCCACTTTTGCATCTTGCAAATCCTGGTTGTTGGATTAGCAGGTATGAGAAACGAGGCTATTAATGTTTATTAATATTAATCTATTAATATTAATGGTTCAACCAACTGCACATTGGCACCATGCCATCTTTTAAAGTCAGTGTCTCTCAATCTGCACTTTCCCATTGCCTTCGGACTGCATCTTTGATAATTTTCTGCAATTTTGGCAATGCTTGATGGGAATTCTTGGTATTGTAGTCCAAAGCTCATGTGGAAGATGCCTTTTAGAAATTTATTTATTTATTTTCGAGAGTTATTTCTAATTTGTAACTGGATGCCTTAGAGGACCTGCTTCAACAAGGCTTCAGGTCATTCATAATGGTTTACAGACTATCTGGGTTGTACCTAGCCCAAAGTACAAACCAACCAACCATGTTTTGGGCAAAACATAGCTACGCAAACTCCAGATGAATGCTTTGTTACAGTTTTATCGAATGAGCACTAGGTGGGGCTGTCCAGCCAAACAATCAAAGAGAAATAGGTAATTGGCCTAAATATTCTTCTTCAGGATGAAGATATTTCTGGAAGAAAAACAACTTCTCTGTCATTTGTATTTTAAAATTAGAAAGCTTGCACAAAGCTGAGTGGCTATTAATCATGCCAGGCATGAAACAGTTTAATTTGGAAACAAGGAGGGAAAGCTGTCTTCCAACATAGGATAATCAACAACCCAACAAATGAGTATGCCTGCCTAAGGCCATTGTTGAGGAGGACTCTAACCCTAACTCTAACCCTAATTCAATCAATCAATCAATCAAATACACCTGGAATACTGCAACCAATTTTGGTCATGATACTACAAAAAAGATGCTGAAAATATTGGAATGTGTTGAAATGAGTAGATTGACATTTGAAATTAGAGAACAAGAGGATAAACAATTTTACAAAATTTGGGACCTTTTCTATCAATGGTTAGATAATAAAATATAATATTAAAATATGTAGAATTTTAGAAAACAATGAATATATAAAGATGTATTTTTTTCTTTTTTTATTATTATATCTATAAAATGTTTCTAGGATAGATTTGGGAGGATTATATGAATTGTTATAAAATAAACTAAGTAAATTATAGTTATCTCGCAAAGTATGAATGAACAAAATTATAGTCAAATGATTGATTAATAATGATACTAGGGTATTCAATTTTTGATTGATAATATGAGTTATTATGCAATGTAACTGTAATTGAGACTATGAAATGGATGCACAAAATTTTTGTAAACCAACCGACACACTGCTTGTACACTTATGGAAGAAAGTTGGATGTTTTTATGTTTTGTTTGTTTTTGTTTGTCTTTAAAAACCAATAAAATTTACAAAAAAAAAGATGCTGAGACTTTGGAAAATGTTCAGAGAAGAGCAGCTAAGATGATCAAAGGCCTGGAGACTAAAACCTATGAAGAACGGCTGCAGGATTTGGGTTTGGCTAGTCTAAAGAAAAGAAGAATTTGGGGTGACGTGATAGCAGTATTCCGGTATCTGAGAG